GAGGTTGTGACTGTTGTTGAGCATGTTCCAACATGCAAGCTTCTTCGAATGCATGTTGAAGATCAAGATTGTACTTTTCCAAAAGTTGTTGGTTAAAGCTATTAGACATTAGTCCTGTGATGAAGGCGTCGCGTATAGCCTCGTCACGATGCTTTTCAGCAGTAACGGACAAGAAGTTACAGTTAACAGCGAGGCTGCGTAGTTTCTGTATGAACTGATCGACTGATTGTCCATTTTGTTGTTCAGTTGTTTCTAATACATGGCGCAAAGACTTCGTTTTTCGATTTAGTATACAGAATTTCTATGCTTCGTAGCATCTCGTAAGTGGAACAGTCGATAAATTGCTGGATAGATGAAGTTGATGAGGAGTTTTCTTGTATCGACGTCGGGGATCTCTACCGTTGAAAGAAAATTGTCGAAGGTGTCCCGCCAATGGATCCATTGCTCGGCTGCTGTAGGAGAATGAGGAAGTTCCTCGAAGACAACTCCGGTGCACTCAAGGTGCTCATAGTACTAGGATTGTGGATTCGCGTCTCTGATATGCAGCAGACATCAATCCTCACAGAGTCTATTGTACGAGCTAGACACGCTTGTTGACCCACTTGCATCATCGTCCTCACGTTAAAGGCCCCCAGATTCAGTGATTGGCGAGGCTTCAGGATCTACGATCTATTTTGTGGCAAACTGCTTGCCGCGCTACTTGACAACTAACTTTGGCGAGTGACGAACAAGTTGTCTGAGGGAATGTTACCGATCGGAAGAGGGGTAAAGGGAGAGGGTTGGTTACGGAAGATAAAGAGTTGAACTAAGTTTGGGATGTCCGAACAGTAGCTCATTTATCATTACCCACCCCGCTCGATGCAATAGGTAGCTCGGTCCTTATTATCGTGCGCGACGACCGATGCAGTATGGGATTATTTTGTTTGTGTATGCATGAATCAGAGTAGTTAAAATGAAGTGACCAGACACATCGTGTGCTTCAGGTACCATTTACACCGGCCGTTCGTTACCCTTCCTCCTACCTTATATTTATCCGCTCTTCCGGCCTTTTCCTTACGCACCCTTATCATCTTCATTTATCACCTTACATCTTACTGGTAAAACGAGCTTGTCGGGACTCTCGCGTAGGATCCACCGTAGGCAGTGAACCTGAGTTGACTGGAGCCCGTTAATATTATCGATTGAACACAATGACACCTCGTTTCCCTCTTAGTTCAACAACCACGCGCGAAATCGAAGTGAAGGATCAAGATCTCGAATAACCGAAGCTCGGTAAGGCTGCGTCCGAGCTAATGAGTGCAAGTAACTAAGCAACATTGGCACTCGCATTACGTCCTATGACCTGACCTGTCAGTGACTGTTTCGTTGACCCCAGTCCGTTAAAACGATTTAGTTTAGGGAAAGAGCGATACATACGCAAAGCAGATTAGAAATCTCACCCCCCCCCCGTGCCACTAGCGTTCTTTGGGTTAAGTTGGGGCTCAACCACGGTCAGCATAATTTGGTGTTCGTCAAGGGCATCCTATTTAGCCATTCCTGTTCAATTTCGTCGCAGACAAAATATTTAAGAACACACCAAATAGACTTCATTGTGTTGGCCCCGTCCAAGTTGCGTATGATCCGATAAACCGAACAAAGATCCCCAATGGGTTGTGGTTTTCGCACACCTCCCTGTTACCTAGTAGGCCGGTCTTCGGTTGTAGAGTCTCCAAGAAAATTCAGTTGCTTTGGCCTTCACATGCTGGCAGTAAACCCCCAAAGAACAAATCATGTACCGTTTTGTTTGTTATGAAGATTTATGTATCGTGGTTCGTTTGACCGACTGACTGGACTTAGACATACGAAACATAACAATTATTTTGATTTCCTGTAATTGGTTAATCTCATTCCATTTTTAAATTGTTTTGATCTAGTTGTTATGGCAAACCGACTTTTAACCGGCGGTGAATGCCCCCAGGGTGTTCTCGATGTTATTGAAGGTGCAATTGGTTATCTTGCCCTTTCAAATGGTTTTGCGGCGATCGAATACGCTGCCCTTCGGATACTGTCGAACATGTTTTTATCTTGTGAGTTCAGTTACTCTCCCTTTCGTGATTCTCATCCCTTAACATTCCGCAACAAGATGTGCTCCAATTAATCGCTTACTCTCATATGTTCGCTAAGTTTTATTTTCCTATCGCCAGGTTGATTGCATTATATAATAATGAACGTTTAATCTTTTTCTGCAGTATCCTTAGTTATTTATTCTGTATTGTAAAAAAATATAAACTATTTGTTCCACCCTTCCCCGAATTTCAGTCACTGAGGAATTGGGTATCGCAGCTCTAATGAATGCTGAGAGTAGCGGAAGAACAACAATTTTGCTTAGCGACATTATCATCGCTCTGGTGGATTTCGGTTTTGACCTGAAAGGTCTCAATGAACTGCACAGAAGGCGCCAGTATCGTGGGTTCAAGGAACGTACGTTTTATATCCATTCAACCAACCGTCTTTTTCCATATTGGTTAAACATCGCACCATCAACCATTGGTTTAGTTATACAATACGCGCATTATCG